AAAAATTATTCTTACCGGTACTGCTACCACCGGTTCTAAGGAAAAGTAGCAGTACCGGTACCAAAAACCAACGTTTACATCTGAGAAAAGAACTGTAGTACTTACGACTAATTCAAACTGTCCTTTTAATCAAACTGTATTATAGGTGTTAATCAGTTGGCAATTATATTATATAAATAAATAAATACACACAGGCCACAAAACATGTAACATGTAACGTAAACAACGTTAAGTTTTGAAAACTCACTATGGTTTGCTAAAAAAAAACTTTCACTTGATGTGGTGCAGTACCGGTACCGAAGTTATTAATCTCCTTTGGTTTTAATTTTTTTTTAGTTTTCTAAAATCAAAGTTATTTCCTATTAATAGCATAATTTGTAACCAGCTTTTATTGTAACATATTAAAGACAGTTTGAAGAAACCACCTTTATCCAAACAAAGGTTTCTTAAGATTACGTAATCTCTAAACGATAATCGGTACATATATCTAGCAAAAATTCGGAGGAAATGTGACAAAAAACGCACAAATCTGGGGTTTTGTACGTTTGTAGTTTTTTTCCTAAGTAGGAAAAGTACCGATATCGTTGTCGAAATGTAAGTAAGTAGAAACCAAAAGTGACACATTGGAAAAGCGAGTTTAGCTACATCTGTTAAGTTAAACCTCTGTTACGGTACGATCACAGCGAAATCAGAAAGATCTTCCAAGATCGCAGCAACATTCACGATCACCCACTGCAGTTGTGATTTTTTACTTTGCACTTTACACAACTGTCCTTGAAGGGCCATAAATGAGAGCGGAAACCTTTTGATTTAACCTGATTTAACCTTTTGGTGATGACGATTTAAAAAAATTAAGTTTCCCAGCACTAATACAACACTGATTCACGGTATTTTCCCCGGTTATAAAAACTCAAGAACACTCGTTGCACTTGCGATTAATTAAACAGGTTAAGTAAGGCACAACGTTTCTAATCTCACTTGGTTTGGATGTGCTGACAAAACTTGATCGGAAAATGGGTGCGGTATTTGTAAACAACTTTGAATGTAAACATATCAGTGACAGCTAGAAGTGAGAACTAATCCAAACAGCTGATCGTTATTTCATCAAATTTAATAGGAAACATTGGGAGAAAATTTGACAAAAATCGAACAAAATTGGGTTTTTGGTGGTTCGTTATTTTGTTTTCGAAGAAGCGAGGCCATGTTTTTATAGCCAAAGACACTCTCACCAATCCAGTTAATACAGAAAAATGATTAAAACCTTGATCGGTACTCTAGTTTTCTAGGAGTAGGCCGCGTAAAATGACATTTTGGCGTTACAGACGAAGTCACAGAATGGACAGACAGACATACAGACAGAAATTGAGATAAGACTCGTTTCGGCTTTCTTAGGCTACGAAACGTAAAAATAACCAAAAACCGCATGATTCTAAGCAATGTACAGACAAAACTGTAATTTTATTTATATAGACTAGCATACCTGTTGCTCAAAATCGAGCAGTTGTCAGAACCGGTTTTACCGGAGCAGTCATAATTTTTGATGAGTTTAAAAGACTCATCTAAAAGCTTATGTAACTAATAGAAATACTCACGCTGATGGAAATGTATCAAACTAACCAGGCTTTCTCATTTTTTTCCATCATAATATGCACGCAAACCCAGATTCAAATTAGTAAATATTTTATTTAAATTAAGTCAGTGAATGTGTCTAGCACGAGATTCCTTGAATTAATTGCAACTTAAAATGTTTACGGCAATTAAATGATCCAGCTGATCATAATGTAAAAATACAGGGTTAGTAAAAAGTCTGGAATATTTTAACGGCCCATACTAGAAAAACTAAACTCGGCCCACCTTTATTTTATGAAGTACTTTTTGGGCATAACCACTACTTGGAAACTCAAAAATTCAAACGGTAAGACCCATCGAGTGACCCCTCATTTTGAAGATGAAGGTCCTGGTAAAAGAAAACTAACAATGCAAACTAGAGGTCTCTATCTCAATCCAGTAAATAATGGCAGCCAATTGAATTGAAATTCTCAGAAAGTTAAACTTAACTTACAGCTTTCCAAGTCTGGACACCCCCTGTAAATTTTGTTACGGCTCACACTAGGAAAACTAAACTCTACACACCTTTACATAAGCTGTAAACAATGCTACTTTGACAGTTAGTTCCCATTGTGTATCACAGTTTTTGGTTGCTGCTTAGTTCAAATTAGGTGTTTTCATAAATGGAAAAATATATATAGTGCTGCACCCTGTTGGTAAATCTTATAACTTTTTAATACTTTTGCATATCATAGAACCAACTTTTTTAAGTTGAAACAGCTGATTAAATTCTTCAATTCCCTTTAAATATGAACGAGCTGGTGGCCCGTCCTACGTACGGGAATCGAGTTGTCAACTGAAACGGAATAATTCAGAACATCTAGTTTACACGCATAGACACAAATCCTGGCAGTTTTAATGGGGAAGATCACCTTATAAACAAATGTAACATGACCACCTATTTATTCCATTTGAAATATAGACCTAAAATATGGCGATATGCATTTTAAATCCGATAATTTTACCATAAAACAGCATTTGTGTCGATTTGAAAAATCTTGAAGTGAGATTGGCGACCGATTCACACTGGTTTTGAGTAGAGTAGTTACATGCCACCTCCAATTGCATACCGTACTACTTATGTACTTACCGTACCTTATCTTACCTCCGTGACCACTGAAACTTTTATGAGGATTCTCTTCTATCACCTGCCTCTTCAAAATTTAGATCCCAGTCTGAGGATGCATTTTATAACTTGATATTTCCCGTCTATCGTGTGGTACTCCTTGGGAATATAATTTTTAAAAGTTTATGCACAGCCTGTCCATCCAAGCTTTACCTACTTCTGGAAAGCATCCCTATATTTGGGTGTTAACACATTTCTCTTAGCTCTCTGTTCTTTTTTATTTCGACCTCCGGGCCGTTATCTTGAACTGGTCTGTATATTTTCTCTGCACTTTATTATCTAACCCAGCATTAAGGTTTTTCGGTTCTTTGGTCAGTGCCCAAGTTTCTGGATCATCAGCACTACGGGGATAGTTGGTATGGTATGAGTCGACTTTGGTTTCTGCTGCACCCTGCAGTTTATTTGACAGTTTTATAGAGACCTACTACACCGATTGACTCTTTCATTACTAATCAAAATTTTAATATGCCGACATACTCACATTCAAACATACAGAAAAAGAAGTATCAACACGTAAACCACTTATATCACAAGTGATATACTGCTGAAAAAATATTTCCCAAATATGAGTTGAAATTTGCTATGCATAAACTAAATACTTACACAAATTGCATTTACGACAAAACTTGATTAAACGCAAGTGTTTGAGATGTTTAGTTCAAAATAACACATTTCCTGATAACGCAGATCCTTCACGGTAGGGGAAAACTACCTACAATTTAAAGTGAAATAGTATGTAGGCAAACACCAACGAACAATATTTTTGTAAACAAACAACTTGTAACATAAACATTTCAATGACAGTTAAAAACCAGCTGTTAGTTAAACCAGCATTGAAAATACTTTAAATTGCAAGCGTCGGCTGCTATACTTAAAAAAAATTAAAACCTAATTTCTAAAAAACTGAAATCCTAAACTAAAATTATGGCTTCGATATTCCCTAGTTTTCAAAATTATCTTTCTTTCAACACAAAAATCATGAAAATCCGTCAAGTGGTTGATTCAGAATCGTAAAATAAAAAAACCCTGTTTCGTTTTAATATTATAGAATAGATACTCATGTGGTTAACATGGGGAACTGCAGAGCCACTGGGGCGGAGCCCAAAAGGATTTTTGAGATAAGAATATGTCTATATGTTAATCGGGAATGTAAGCTATTATCTTGCCAAATTTCAGCCCAATCCGTCCAGTAGTTAATGTGTGATTGAACTTCAAACCAACAAACAAACACACAAACTTTCACATTTATAATAAGATTGTGGCCATACAAATGTAGGTATTTTAAGCCAAGTATGAATGGAGACGAGTGTAGGGTGAGGGGCACGATCTTGTAGCCTTGTTAGTAACTTGACTAAGGCCGACATGTTCCTTAGACACTGCTGTTAATTAGTAGCCCATACAGCCAATGGCAACTAAGGGACCTACAGCTTATAGTGGAATCCAAACCACATTTTTGCCTTGTTATTAACAAATTGATCTAATTATCAGGATAGTACTGCAGATTGTCATAGTACTCACTAGTGTGGACGTTAATCCACACTAGAGAGTATCACATCCACAGTGCATGCCTATAAATATCCACAATTCGTGACCTCCAAGTAGCTGGATTACAGGACGACGCCACCGTCCCAGTCACATAAGGAATGCCTATTTGCAGTATTTAAAGTCAATGGTTCACCTAAATGGAATGCTTTTTGTAGTATCTAAAAGTCAATGGTGCATAAGCATCTTTAATTCATTTTGTAGTAAATTTTTCTAAACGTGATTAACCTGATAGTTCTTCTCTTTTGATCTGTATTTTGTGATGAGCTAGTTTAGATGATTTGTCGATAACCATCAATTTGTGATGATTTACCGCGAACGTGGCAACGGCTGTCATGATTTCTTGCGATTGCGGTATTTCCGGTATCCATAATAGTTTCCCACAATCGTAATTTTAAACTATGCAAAACGAGAGAGGCCATTCGGTAAGTTCCTAATTAATTTTTTTACTTATTCAGAAAAACTACTATGTAAGGGGGGGGGGGCTCAGAGGGGGCCCCGGGTGCTCGCCCCGTCCGCCCTTTGGTAAGCTCAGCCCTGGTTATAACTAAATGCAGCAATGTCACGAGTTTAAATTACAGGGCCACTAAATTTTACCTCCATTAATCTTTTTGTCATGAAAGTATATCTGACACTGTAAGATGCTTTTTCACTCAAGGATCCTTTAAAATGTGTAGAAAATCTTGAAAGTGACAATCAACTGTAAAAGAACATTTGTCTCCAGGTTGCCCCAACCATGACCAGCAGCAATGGCGCCCCGGTGGGTGACAAGACTGCGACGACCACTGTTGGCCCCAACGGTCCAGTCGTACTACAGGACTTCACCCTGATTGACGAACTTGCCCATTTCGACCGAGAGCGCATCCCTGAGAGAGTTGTTCACGCCAAGGGAGCCGGTGAGTCTTAACTGCGATTCTAATGGTTTTTAAGTTATTTGTTTTATTGTTTATATCTACGCCTTTGGCATTTTAAACGTTTTTTATAAGGGAACACAGTCTAAATCTTGTTACTGATTGTTACTAATTGAACTCCGTTCACAAAATCTCGGTGGTTTTAGGGGAAGAAATATATCTCCTCCACGTCTTGATCCTACCATTAAAACATAGCTCAACAGTTGAGATTTGTCAAAACGTCAATCAGCTGCACCATACATTAAGCAGAAAAAGTAGGGGGGGGGGAGTTAAAAACGACTAAATATTGGGAACAGAGTAAAATGTTATACTTTTTGTTAGATAGCATCATTAATTGATAGCCCAAGGTTTTCTTTGTCCTTAATTAATTAATTGTATAATTAACAACTACCTAATTGATAGTCCTACCATATGAGTGATTCCAAAAGTGAGAAGTACATTTTTGTTTGTCCTTGTGTCAGTAATAGCTATAATTTTTTTTAGAATATAGATATTTGTATTTTAGGACAGCTGAATGATGAATCCTTATGTTATTCATTTGACACGGTTTCAGTAATAGTTGAAATGTCAATCCCATCTTGTTGTGTTTATTTAGGAGAAACCCACCTTGAGTATTCACATTACATAATGTGAGATGTAGTGACGTTGACTTTCAAATCAGGAAATTACACCTTGCTATTGACTGATAATTTTGTTTTCTTTCCCAAAACAATCCACTTTAATGTTGAATTGAAACAAAAACCAACTTTCATTATCACTCAGTAACTGAAAATTGGTGATTAATGCATTCAATTAGAAAAAATAGTTGGAAAGCTGAATTGATATAGCGCTCGCCCAGTAATCAGAGCCGGTTCGTAATAGTTGGGAACTGGACCCAACTGTCCTTGATCAATTGGGCTTTTAAAAATGGTCCTAGCGACAGCAACAGCTGATCTTAGTCAGTAACAAAGCTACACAGATCATCTCACTTCATTCTACATGTATCCTCCTGTGTTCCGACTCAGCTTAAAATAAACAAGCATCCAAGAGTGCACCACTGTTTGGAAAAAAATGTATTGTCTTATAACAGGCTATGTTTGCAGCCTCAAGTAACTAGGTGGCGTTCGCAGAGGCATCCACAAAATTGAGCGGAGTCATCATAGTTCATATTATATTTTTATCGACCTTCTCCATCGAGCTTCATAATTATTTTTACCTACAGTTTTAAGTGAAGACAATATTTGTGTAGAGATAAATATTGCAAGAATTTGATTGCCTACACATTGTTTCGTAATGAAGGGGAGTAAATACTCAGAGATGTCATTTTAGGCCTTTTCGGAACCTCTGGGTTAGTCATCAACTTTTTCCCAAACAGGGCGGTACAGTTCCAGCTAGTGATACCCTAGAAATCAACCCTTACAGTTTTGGGTTCTATCATTTAGGCTGCTGAAAACTGCATAAGAGGACTTTATAAGATGGTGATTAAATATATATATCACTCTCTTAAATCTGAGACCTTCATAACTATTAAAGTATAACTAACTAGCCAACTAGATTAATATACTCAGTAAAACAATTTAACATAATTTTTTACAATATCAAATTTATAGATTGACTTAAATTAATTGTAATTTGACTTTATTTTGATTTTAGAGAATGTGAACATTTCAATTTTAAAAAAATGTTAAAGAAGTTATATCAACATTCACATTGATTCCAGCGTAACCGATGTGTTACACGTCAATAATTTTTATAATCAATCGGAAAGTGATCGAAGACGAAGGTTAAGCTGTTGAGTTTTGGCTAAAATTGTTGTGCTTCCTAGTGGTCCTTGTTGATCTTGACAAGATCGAACTATTTGCTACGTATCGGCATTTCAATCGCATAATAAAATCCACAATTGTTCTATGAAACCTGTGTATGGATAATATTTAAACTTTGTTAACGTGTATGGTTTTCATTCAAACTAATTCATAACTTTTTTTAATGAAAACTGATATTAAAAATTCAGTTTTTCTCAACTAAGCCTATCGCATAAAAACACATTAACAACTAAGACACTATTATTTAAAAAGCTGTATGTACTACCATGTAAACGCGTCAACTTTGTTCGCATTGAAACACGTGGTTCTGTTCTTGTAAAACCCCACAAGATTCATATAGGCTACTAATTCACAAACCAATAATTCATCGCTAATAAATGGGCTACTAAAAGGATTACATAAGCTTTTCTCAAGTACGTTTAGAACATTTCAAACACAACTTCAACTGTTAATTTAGTTGGATGGACGGAAAGCAAAGATGTTTGTTTTATTAATCAAAATGGTACTGTCAATAAACGTTCAAACAAAATGTTAAGGCTATTAGTATAAGATTCAAGCTATGGTCGTTTATTCTTATATCTGTATTTCTTGATCTACTGAAATTAAAGTAAAAAACTGATAAAAGTAAAAAAAACTTATACCTTTGATTATATGACAAATAGTGCTTCCATAAGCATTACATTGAAACTGTGAGACCCCGTGGTTGTGGATTCCGGATAGATTTTGCTAACGCCGTATAGATGTTGTTATTCACCGATATGGTCTTAATCACCATACAAAGTTTGTAAACAATTGCTTCAGCCATCTAGGAGAAGTTTGCGTATTACGAAATGCACAAGAGTCGTATTCGACATATAAGAGCTTCGATCACTCCCTCTGCTCAATAAAATCAGCAACACATATTTTTGAAACAATCATAAACTTTTTAAAATTCACATTTTCAAATCAATTAAATTTCGTTTTAATCAACTAATTCTTTATTTAGGTAGTTATTAAAGGCCCTTGAAGGTAAATTACGAAAACGGATATTAAATCAAAACCGCAGAGGCTAACCATCAGTTCCAGTGCTTCAAGGTCTTCTGTGCATCTGAAACTAACCATTTCCTTCCGTTGTTTACAAGATAAGATTTACACTTTCTCTAAACATCCTCATTTACTTCATTGGCTCCGAACAATTGTTTCTGGTTCAACCAAGGTCACACAGTTCCTTTTTTGGTTTTGAAACAGAATACTGACACATTATAATTTCCAATCTTGATAAGAATAGATAATTTTATATTTCTTATTAATTTTGTCTTATTGTTTGATCTTTTTTTTAAATCACCTTCAAGATAAATACTTTACTATAGCAAAAAAGTGATCAGAAAATAAAATAAAAATACAATTTTTTGAAAGTTTGTACAGCTTTAAATATGTTTAGATAAGAATATTTTTTAAGTTCCAAACTGTGATAACAAGTTCAATTATTACTTTATATTTTTATCCTGTATGAACAGTGTAGACGATGTCGTCATTTTTGCAGAAACTTTAGAGGACCTACGCCAACTAACAAAAATATTTATGGACAAAACAGGACAATTAGGATTAAAAGTAAATGATGGGAAAACCAAATATATGCAATTTTCAAGAAATCAAGGTATAGCCCAAGACCCACTGCAGGTAGATGACCATACATTTGAAAAAGTAGAACATTTTAAGTACTTAGGGGTTATCTTATCCAGGGAAAACAAAGAAGAAATAGAAATTCAAAATACACTAAATCTGGCAAACAGATGTTTCTACGCTTGCAACAGACTGATGTCCTCTAAGTTACTGTCTAAAAACACCAAAGTTAGAATTTATAAGACAATAATCAGCCCAGTATTATTATACGGAGCTGAAACATGGAAACCAAATAAAAAAGAAGAAAAGAAGTTAATCACATTCGAAAATAAGATTTTAAGAAAAATTTATGGACCAATTTATGAAGGTGGTGAATGGAGGAAGAGACACAACAGAGAACTGAGAGAACTCTACAGAGATCCAGATGTGGTGTGTGAATTTAAGTGTAGAAGAGTTAGATGGGCTGGACATGTTTTACGAAGAGAGGAGCAAAATAAGTTAAAATTAGTTTTACTAAGAAATCCCGAAGGAAGACGACCGAGAGGAAGGCCAAAACAAAAATGGTGGAGCCAAGTAAAGAAAGACATGGAGCAACTAGGAGCAACTGAGGAGGATGCAGAGGATAGAGCAAGATGGAGAGGCTTTGTTGGTGCGGCCAAATATCTTCTTAGATATGCATGGCCCTGGGAGTAAGAGTAAGTAAGTATGAACAGTGTTTCTTTTGTATGAAATGTATTGACATAGTATGACACTCTTAATTTGCTGAACTTCATTGTAGTCCTAATATTAATTTCTGTGATGAAAAAATTGATTTGAATAGATTTACTAAGAGATAATTTAACCAACATAAGCATATTGAACCCATTCGTAATAAATCTACTAAAATTATCTACTAAAATTAATTATGTACTGAAATTAAATTATTTGTGAAACAATAAAATGATGAGGAAAACTGTGATAAGAGAAAATGTATGTCTAGTAAATGATTTGTGGACCAAGTTGTATCCAAATTTTAAATTGTGATTTGGTGAGATAATATTTACAATAAAAACTAAGGTAATGAAATTACTAATATTTATTCTAATATGCTAACTAAATACGTTTGTACGGACAAACAGATACAAAACATATAACTTTTTCATCTCTCCTAAACCTTAAAACCTTAAATGAAATCACCAACATTTAGCCTCAAATGATACTAAATTCTTTTGTAAGAAAAAGCACATGCAAATAATAAACATATTTTCTTTCTTTCTGAAACTCCTTTGAAGAGCTCTTCACCCTTTGAGCCCCAAAGTCTTATATATCGGAAACAAGACTGAAATAAATAAGCTTCCACTTACAACTATCTTTATGAGTATAACCTTTGACTATTGAAACAACTAGACATCCCATCTCTATGTTAAAGTTGTTGCCAGTATTTTTATCAAAGCCGTAGTTGATGTGAGCCACTGACAGATTGTGCTGATTTCTGTTGAATAAGTTATATGAACTTTTTTACCCTAGTCAAAGTGACGAAATGACTTATTGTGAGCTATAGCAACTGGTATGTCCCATCAACTATGTCTGCAACCAATAAGG